GGGGGGGTCTCCAGAACTCGACCTTGCTCCAAAAGTAGGTCGTCTGTCAGAGAAACTGATGGTAAACTCGTCCCCAGTCTCTATCGATAAAGGGTTAAACGAGGCAGACGCTTTGCAATTTAACGCTCGTTCCATAAGCATGGGGGTATGAAATAAATGTTTTACTGATGCATACTCACTGAAGCAGTGGGAAGGGAGAATTCGCGTGAAAGAAATTGTCATCGAACATTTTGTTTAGAGAATTCGTTTCATACTGCTACACGAAACAAACGGGTTTTATCTCAGCCCGTATTGATTTTCATACCCATTTAGATTATCGATATCCATCATAAAATAATACATCTTGCTAAGAGTTCGATCAATTTCTTTCTCCTCGAGGTGAGAAGGAGTGACTACATGTTACAAAGTGCTTTAAATAAAGAAAAAGAAGCATGCTTTCAGGCGCTACAGGAAGGCACAGCCGTTGAAATAAACTCACGCACAATAACACATTATTGTTCAGAGATGTGAATGATCATTCACCGAATTCACTACCCTGCTACTGTCACGTTAAAAGAAGACCCGATTACAAAAGGAGGCGAGTTCAGGATCAAACTGTTCGCAGGTAGAGTTATGACGTCCCAGGGGGGGGGGGGATTTGGTATCCCTGTTTTTGTTTCTGTCTATAGAGCTCTTTTTATTCTATTAATGACTGGCTTATGTCAAGGTGTTTATAATTTATTTTCTCAAACACAAACGCCCAAAGACCCGGACTCAAGAATATACGGCCGGATTCTGTGATGGCGTGGTTAGGTTCTTCCCTAAGACGTGCAAAGACGTGAGTTTGATTCTTGCATGAGGGGAGTCTTGTGTTTATTCAGGGTTTCCGTCTTCTAGCCAGCATCATCCATCATCATCAACTAAAGAAAACCCCATCGTTGTCAACATTAACAACCTAAACATTGGCAACAACAACAACAACAACAGCAACAATAACAGCAGCAACAACAACAACAACAACAACACGATTAGCAGCTGCAACAGCAACAACAACAACAACAACAACAACAACAACAACAGCAACAATAACAGCAGCAACAACAACAACAACAACAACACGATTAGCAGCTGCAACAGCAGCAACAACAACAACAAC